CTCACAGACAGCATGACATTTTCTCCTAGGATTTCCTGATACTTCAATGAATCCATCTTGCCTTCCACACGCTGCAGGTTTCCAGTGCCAGAGGATGCAAAGCATCCCCAGAGCATCACTGAGCCATCACCATGCTTAACTGTAGGCAGAGTGTTCTTTTCAGCGTATGCTTCATTCTTCCTCCAGACATACTGCTGATCCATCAGGCTGAAAAGTTCCAGTTTTGTTTCATTGCTCCACAGAACAGAATCCCAAAACCTCTGTGGCTTATTTATATGATTTTGAGCATATTGGAGCTGACTTCTCATGCTTTTGGGTCAGTAGTGGTGTATGTCTTGGAGTTCTGGCATGGAAACCTTCTGCATTTAGTATGTGCCTTACTGTGCTCACTGAAACCTCGGTGCCTGTTGCCACCAAGTCTTGCTGCAGGTCTTTTGCAGTCGCTCAAGGGTTTTTCGCAGCCTGCCTTCTCAGAAATCTGGTTGCAGCCATTGATAGTTTTCTTTTTCTGCCCTGTCCAGGTAGTGCAACCACTGTTCCTTTAACTTTGAACTTGCAAACTATGCTTCCAACGGTGAACATTCAGTGCCTTCATTATCATTTTGTATCTAGTTTTCTTTTTCTGCCCTGTCCAGGTAGTGCAACCACTGTTCCTTTAACTTTGAACTTGCAAACTATGCTTCCAACGGTGAACATTCAGTGCCTTCATTATCATTTTGTATCCTGTTCCTTGTTTGTGAAGGGCAATGATCTCTTCTCTTAGCTTTTTGGACCATTCTTTTGACTTAGCCATATTTCTAACATGCAGTCAAATGTGACACTCAACAAACCCCTAGCCAGTTCGCATATTTCATGTGTTCCAGCTCAAGCACACCTGGTGCAACTAATGAAGCCCTTGATTAGTTGCATCAGGTGTGCGTGAGACAACACTGGTTTTGCATATTTGTGCTGTTGTGAGGGGTTATATTCAGGAGGTTGAATAATTTTGAGACTGGAGAAGTCATAAGTTGCATTTTCAGTTGCATTTGGGGAAACCACTTGAAGCATTTGTTGTGTTGAGCTATTTCAATTGCTTTTGTTTGATTTGTTCACTGCAAATAGCTGAAAGTCTGTACATTTTGACAATAAATCTGATTTGCAATGGGGGTTGAATAATTTTGATTGCAACTGTAGGTTATTCTTACACATTTCAGTGGTCACAATGGAGTTGATTATATTTTTAATCTATCAGTTGGTGGAGTGGGCAGTGAGCATAGTTCATCCAAAATGATTTATTATTAGAAAATCAAAACATAGAACAATTTACAGGGCCATTTTGTTTCATAATCCCAATTGAAATAAACAAGAGTAATTAGGGCCCTATGGCTCAGCTCTGTCTCCTGTTTGTCACAGTAACACTGAATCTGCCTTGCTTTACCCCATTGCAGTACAGTTTCTGCAAGATCAGTTGGGATGGGAGCAGCAGAGTAAAACGTGTTCTGATCAGCTTAATGTATAGAGGAGAAATGTAGCCACTCATGTTTGTTTCAAGGTGTGCAGATGTTAAAGCACCAATCGTTTAGCAACTAAACCTGGACAATATACAAAATGCAGTATATCTATAGCTGCAGACTGGAGAGCTGGGGAGCCTTTTCTCCTTGAACTGTGCATTCCTTGGAGGTAATCTATTTGGGAATTTCATGCCAAACTCTAAAAGGGTCCAGAGCCTAAATTGGCCTCCATCATCGACTTCTTCCTTTTAACCATTCTCTTTGCATATCTCTCTTTTAAACACTTTCTTCATTGTTAGACAAATCCCTTTGGCCAGAGTCTAAACTGTCTAAACTGATTACTTGTATAGGTTTAATTTTTTTTAAAAAAAGCAGAAATTTCAAACACTTGAAAGGCCACAGTTTGTGGTGAAGCTTCTTTTCCCTTCAGTAACCCTGGATGTTGCAAAAAGTCATAATAAAAACTTTGCAGTCAGAAATGGATACCTTATCTTACAAAAGGTGAAAACAGACACACACAGGATGACATATGCATTTCTTCTGCCATCTTTAATAAAAACAATATTGTAATTTCCCCTACTATTCTGTCACACATGTCCTCTGTCATTATAAGTGTGCGGACAAAACTCAGTGCAATTTATCCTTGGCATCCCAACCCATCCCATCCCCACTTCGATTGGATGAGATTTGGAAATTGGGATAATACTGAAAATTGAAGCTTTTTTTTTTTTGCCACTTAGAATTAATAAAAAGGGATAAAAAAAGACCTCACATTTAGCACAATTTAACAGAGTTGATATCAGGTGGGCATGTTTTTAAAAAGCAAAGCTGATTGGTGGCATTCGTTGCATTCCCTACACACTGAAGTCAACAGCCACGGAAGGGACAGGAGTGGATTAAAACAATTTCATAATCCTAGTGATTTTCTTTTTTATCAGGATTATGAAACCAATCATGAATATCAAAAGCCACAGCTTAAACCAGCCCCTTGGGACAGATGCCTTGTAGTGATGGGTGCAGGAGACAAAGCAACTAATAGGGCAAGAATGAAGAGTGATTCTCCATTTTATCTAGTGAGATTCTTCTTTGGTATTCATAGCGGTTGACAGCTGCTGGATTTAACTGAGGTAGCCAATGATGTTCAGGTAAGGCACGTCTTTAAATTATTATGTTGTTCTGCTTACCACAAAGCCAAGGCCATCAGTGAATATTGCTTGCTGAATTGTTTTGTATTTAGGATTTAGGAAACCGCCTAAACCATTCCATGAAGAGTGGTTTTTTTGACCTCAGGTTGTCCATTGTGGCAAAGCTTAAGAACCCACTGATATAAGCAAAATCTTTCTATACTGATTCTAAAGAATAAGTAAAATATGTAAACATTGGGGTTATGTAAATATACTTCTTAGGAGTAATCTAGACTATATATTATAGCTCAAAATGTTGCTTCCACATTACAACATGTTAACTGATGATTGACAAACCATACAGATACATTTTTTCTGGCTGACCATATTAAATGTTGCCTTACATAAACGCCTCTTAATCCTACTATTTTTTAAAACCCCACTCTTACTGGCAATGTACTTTCCTACAATAGAAAAACACTGTACAGTAATCCACAGCAGATAAGAATGCCAAATTGAATTAAAGTAAAAGGATGCATGCAAAGTAACCTCATCTGGTCACTAACACTTAAACAGTTTTCCAAAATAAAAATAAAATTACAATTTGAGCATTATTTGTACCCTTTTGCCTAGTGGGAATAAGACTACTGTCTCTCATGAGCTGCAACTGCACTTAAAAGTTAACTCTCACAGGAAATGCCCTCATCAGAATCACTTGAACAGCACTGAAACCTCTCATCAGGGCTATGTTAGGAAGAAGTGCATTTAGAAATTTTAAATACTGCTGTACATTAAGTAATTAATTCATAGCCAAGCCTTTTCTTTGTATAAACACTCAAAGTGGCTTCCGAGAATGTTTTTTAAAAATAATATCAGTAAAATCAATACAATAAAAATCAGTAACATTAAAATCAAGTAACAATTAAAAACTTAGATGGGTTTTTTGCTGTTTTTTTAAGTATTAGAAGAGCAAGGTCCAAAGGCACCATATTCCATTGCTTGGGAACCACCCAGGAAAAGGCCATCTCTCGTGTGCCAAATAACTCACTTCTGTGGAGTCCTTGGGGTTCTCTGAGCTTGGTTCTTTTCTTGCAAATGTTTCATTACCTGGCTAGGGTAGTGCACTGAAGATGTTACCTAGTCGGGTAATGAAACGTTTGCAAGAAAAGAA